AGCTGTCCATCTATTTTGAAATGAGATTCAACAAAGAATTTGAGAAATCTTAGAAACATCGATGTTCTTTGTGGACCCCGTTTCCAGAGGGGGATGGAAAAAAAAATCACACTAAATGTAATAGCCAGAAAACACCTACATACATAAGAGGGCCTTTCCTTTTTCATGATGTTTGCTAGAGTGGTGAGCCTACCCACTGAAAAGTCTAGGCCTTCTCATGTGTCATAACTTAGCCCAGGCATCATTCTGTGCCCAACCCTTTTGTCTTCCTTGTCATGTATTCATAACTGGCTTCCTTTTGCCTTATTATATGTACAGTGCACAGAATTAGATGGTAACTTAAAAAGCAGATAGGTGAAGTTCCCTTCTTAAAAGATTCATATAGCATGCTTGTGTCCGATATCATTTCTGCCAAACGAAGCCATTGAGCAATACATGCTTAGCCTATTTTCAATAGGCACTGGGTTCATAGAATTACCTCAAGCGGGAATACCAGGGACTCACACTGTAGTAAGGCGTCCCTAGGTGGTTAAGTGATCATCTAGCCAAAAGGGTGGTAGTTAGAACCCACCCTGAGGGCCCTAGAAGACAAGCCTGGGGATCAGTTTCCGAAAGGGCACAGCCTTGAAAATGATGGAGCCTTTCTCCTGTGCAGCCACAGGGCTGCAAAGAGTGACCAACAACTGGATGGCACCTAATCACAGCACCCTACAGTGGGGGAAGGGTTTTACACAGCTGTGGGTGTGACCCACAAAATAAACACACGGCAGGTCTCTTGCTAACAGGCCAGAGAAAGCAGAAAAGTTGAACTTAATGAAAACCTACTAGATGCTGGGTACTGAAACAGTCATTTTACCTACAGGTTGAAGCAGTTTATCCGTGACTCATCTCATCGGCTAAAAACTTGAAAGTGCTGAGACCAAACCACAGGATCCACTCCATGGCCCAAACGTTCCACAGACTAATCCCCCATGTGAGCAAATCTCAAAAAAAGAGATGGAAATGACTTAGAGTCTTTATAAGCAGAATGTCACAGTCCAGAAGCGAGCAGGGTAAAGGTCATTTGTCCTTCGGGGTAACTATTTTCCCCAAACCCTGAGACAGAGAGCCTGTGTTACTCTCATCCTTATAAAACTTTAATTATGTGTCCCCAGTTTTGATTTATGTGGCATATCCTTGAGATA